TCTCAAGGTCTGGGAGGAGGGGGGAGCGAGTGGCGTGCAAACGGCCGCTCGGGATCTCCCCCTCCCTCCCAGGTGTGAGAGCCTGGGAGGGAGGGGGAGACCCCGAGCCGCCGCAGCGCGCGAAACAGCTGATTCGCGCGCCGCTGCTCCCCCTCCTTCCCAGGTTTGAGAGCCTGGGAAGGAGGGCGAGTAGCGGCACGCGAATCAGCTGTTTTGTGCGCCGTGGCAGCAGCAGCGGAGGTGAGCTGGGGCAGCCAGGGCACATTTTTAGGGGCGGCATTCTGGCGCCGGCCATGCCGCCCCTAAAAATGTGCCGCCCCAAGCACCAGCTTGTTTTGCTGGTGCCTAGAGCCGGCTCTGTTCAGGGAGAGAGGGGAGATGGTCAGAATGACAGGGTAGGACAATGATCTTTGTAGCAGCATTCTGAATGGATGTGAGCAGGGCAAGATGGCATTTGTCAGAGAAAAGGATATTGCTGTCATCGAGACATGAGCTTATGAGGGTCTGGGTGAGCGTTTTAGCCGTGAGGATGGATAAGGAAGTCCGTATCTTAGAGATGTTGTGCAGAAAGAATTTTCAAGATTTAGACACAGTCCAGATGCGAGGAACTAGAGAGGCCCAAATGGAAGATGTTGGTGTTGTCTGAGAAAGGAAGTAGTGGGGACAGGAACGGGGGGGAAATTCAAGAGCTCTGTTTTAGCCATGTTCAACATCAGCTGACACTAGACATCAACAAGGACACGTGAGAGAGGCAAGCTGACGTTTGAGTTCAGACAAAAGGAGACAGGTCTGGTGTAGAGAGGTGGATCAGTGAGGAGTCAGCCTGGAGCTGGCAGCTGAATTTGTGGAGAGAGAAGGTATAGAGAGAGAAGAGAAGAGGACCAAGGACGGAGCCCTGTGGAACCCTCACAGAAAGCTGGAGGGAGGGGGATGAGGAGCCTCCTCTGAAGGGATACTGAGGGAACAAGCAGAGAGGTAGGAGGAGAACCAGGAAAGGACAGAGTGACAGAAGCCATGGAACCCAGGCTAAAGAGGGCCATCTAAGTACCACAGAAAGAGAAATGTGGATGAAACTGGTGGCCTCATATAGAATGAAAGGATTTAGAGTCAGTAAAATAAACTCAGGAAAAGATTGTGAGGTGCTTAGATACTATGGTAGACGAGGCCGTAAAAGCACCATCAGTCAACATCTGTGGATGAAACTGTTGACCCTATACAGAAGCAAAGGACTTATGGGCAGTAATTCCTTGAATCAGTTGCTTTGGAACAAAGAACGGCGCTTTTGTACCACCATTGCCTGCACTGTTGCTGGTCTCTCTAAGGAAGAAATTTTTTTTTGCAGAGGTACAGGGTGTGTGATGAATGGCAGCCAGGCTTCTAGCCAAGGAAAGGGTTTAAAAAAAAACTTTCACAAAAGAAAGTTGCCTTTTGAAACTATTCGGTAGCATATGTTGTGTGAACAGGAAGTCACAGCGGAGCAATAATCCTGGCAGCTGTGGAGAAACAGGGGCCTGCTGCAAGAATGAATGACTTGAGACCTGACAAGAATGATGATGGATGCCCCGTTGGTTGTACATGAGGATGAGCCATTTAAACTGGCTGAACCACAGGGACAACTTGGAGATGGCATTGCAGCCGGACAAGCTGGCCTGGCGCTAATGGTGCTGAGGCAGAGGGATAGCACAGGGGCTTACAGTTCTGGGTGTCCGGAGCAGAGCGTCACAACTGGACCTGCAGCCATTACGCAGCTGATTAGTTTCATTGGCACTGCTCTCACAAAGAACCAGGCCCAAGGCCCTAGCCGTTTGGGTCATTAATGACTGTTTTGCACCTTTGGTAAGAGCAGGAGCGATAATTCTGTTGGTCAAATTGCAGTCTGGTCATTTGGAAATGGATTGTTCCTTGCTTCCTACTTCAAAAGGAAGATTCTGAGAAAAAACAGGACCCAGCAAAAAAACAGATGAGCTGTCTCCAAGGGATCTATGCTCATTAACACCAGCTGGGGATCTGGTCTTTGATCCATTATGTTCTCCCAGGAATGCTTTCTGCTGACCCTTTGCTCTCTGTTCACCTTCCCCCGTGGCCCGCTTTCCTTTCTCATTGTATTACCCATCTCACTCTGACTAAGCTTAGTGGGGTGAAATCCTACATCCCACTAAATCCTGAAATCAATGGCAAAACTCCCATGGACTACAATGGGGCCAGGATCGAACCCCTGATGTTCTCATTTGCCTGAAAAACACATTACCCTCGCCCCCCAATGATGCCATACAAATAATAAATGCTAATTTTTCCTCCACTTTCAAGAGGTTGCAGTATACTTCTCCACTTCCTGTCTAATTTTTCAGTGTAGTATTGCTGTGTGCTGTTAAACAGCTGGCACGTTCTACCCCCGAGGTGGCTCTATTCTCTCTCTCTAGGGCCCAATCCTGAAAGATGCTGAATGTCCTTCAGCTCCATTGAAATGGATGGGTGCTGAGGTTGCTTGTGGGCTTGGTCCTGTGGGATTGTGGAGTTTCTTGTGGGACTTGTAAAGCACTTTGGAGTCCTTCTGGATGCAAGGCACTATAGAGAGTAAAGCTAAAGTTATAATGCCTTCTAAGTAGCCAAAGGTTTGGTTATTCGAGGATATTTCAGGCACAAGTAGTTGACAGAAATGGTAATAACCCTCTGGTGTAAGTGAACAGGAAAAACAATTGAGGCAACGGTCCAAATTCTGCACTGACCTTCACCCTGAGAAACTCAGCTGATTCACTGGGGTGGCAGAGGAGAAATTCCATGCAAACTCTGACCCCTAATGCACAAGAGATAGATCTGAGTGGTGAGGGATGATGAGGAAAAAGGAAGACGGCAGGATAACAGCTGGACTGGTGGTGAGCTGTATTTTGTGCACAGCTCGTCTACATGACAACATGCTCATATTACCCTTACTTCACCCTCCTCCTTTCCTCCACCCCCCCACCTGTGGTTCCCCCCGCCCACCTCTTGCATCTTGTTTTTAACAAAGATTGTAAGTCCCTTGGGGACTGTCTCCTTGCTACATGTGTGAACAATTCCGAGCCCAGTGAGACCCTGATCCCTGACTGGGGTCTGGGAGCGCTATCTTGAGAGATTTGTAGATTTTAAGGCCAGAAGGGGCCATTATGATCAACTAGTCTGACCTTCTGCATAACACAGATCAGAGAATTTCATCCAGTGGTTCTTTCATCAAGCCCATAATTTTTGGTTGAGCTACAGCAGGGCTTTTAGAAAGAGACGGCCAATCTTGATTTAAAGACTTCAAATGATGGAGAATCCACCACATCCTTGGGCAAGTTGTTCCAATGATTAATTACCCTCACTGTTAAAAATGTGCACTTCATTTCTTTTCTGAAGTTTTCGAGCTTCGGCCTCCAGCTATCGGATCTTGTTCTGCCTTTGTCTACTACACGAAAGAGCTCTCTCCTATCTAAAATCTTCTCTCCTCGTAGATACTTGTAGACCAGGATCCAGCCACTTCTTAACATTCTCTTGGATGAACAAAAGAGATTGAGCTTTTTAAGACTCTTATTCTAAGGCAGGTTTTTCTAGACCTCAAATCATCCTTGTAGCTCTTTTCTGAACCCTTTCCAATTTGTCAATGTACTTTTTTATCCTCGTAGCATTTATCTTATTGGTAATTAGTAATAAAAGTCACAAACCAATAATAATAAAGCAAAAAATGTTAGGCCAAATTGTCTCTCCCTAAGGTTACTAAATTGTGCATTCTCCTCTGTGTAAGGCAGATGCATGTGTGTGTGTGTGTGTGTGTGTGTGTGTGTGTGTTTTGTGTAAGTGAGTGAGTCAGTGTCAGAGAACGAGCAAAATAAGCCTTCCATGTTTTCCCCAAATATCAGGCTGGAACCTCAACCCTACCGGGCGTTTGTCCAAATGGAGTGATCTGAGGTTGATGGCCAGGAAGACTCTAAATATCTTCACAGCTCTTTTAATTCTAAGCTGTAGAGATGAGGATAAGAACCGCACTTTGCACTTTTCGGTGGTTGCACGGAGGTGCAAATTAGAGTACTACTTGGCCCTAAATTCTGGTTCTGTCATATTTGTCAAGTATCAGGGGGTAGCCATGTTAGTCTGTATCTACAAAATCAGCAAGGAGTCTGGTGGCACCTTAAAGACTAACAGATTTATTTGGGCATAAGCTTTCGTGGGTAAAAACCTCACTTCTTCAGATACATAACACAGATCAGAGAATTGTCATATTTGTGTGCTTTTCTCTGCTTTGAACACCAAAAAGGCTCCTCATTGTTCCCATATAGACCGTTATTCTTTGGCAAAGAAAAAGCGTTTAGACACTGGCAACAAGCCTGAATCATCCCTGGGCAACCAGTGGGGTTACCCCAGGGATAAATCTGGCCCAGCTGGTACAACATTTATGACTGTGTGTCTTTGCAGACAATCAAAACTCTATCATTGCTGGTCATGGGACACTGCGCCTCTTGAGCTCACATGTCTGTGAAACGATATCAGTGCCACCCTGGCCTTTTAATTGAGTGGCTAAACAAACCCGAGGCCCCACACGCCTCAGCTGCTATCCATTTTTCCTGGAAGAAGATTCAGAAAGCACTAATAAATCATCAGCCCTTCCTCCCCTTGCCCCTTCATCAGGCCTCTGGGCAGCCTGGGCAGAATAGACCCACAAGGCGTTCTCCTCCATTAGCCTGCTACTCACCGGCATTGTCTGGCTGCCATGCAAGGCGTTGATGGCTGCTTGGGCCTCTGCATGCGAGGAGTATTTCACAAATGCACACCCTGCAAGAGGAGGGAGAGGAAAGAGAAGGATTTTAAAAACAGAGACCCGATAGCAGCAGGCGGCTAACCGCGGCCAGCCACGCGAAAGGGATTTACTCTATTGAAAACCCACATGGCTCTCCTACCTACATCCATTATTTGCTGTTTGTAGAGTGCCACAGATGGGCACCCCCCATTACAGTCCGTAAGTGCTTATCTCTGCCCCAAAGAGCTTGCGGTGATGACTTTTGACGCGAGAGGTGAGAACGGGAATTGTATTTATGGGATGGCCACCACCTTGGCCACGGCCAGCTGTAGAACCTTGGACTTCCAGCACTAAATAGCAAGTGTCATGACCACTTGAGCTGGAGAGCCATTTCTTGGAGCTGTGGGCTGCAACAGAGTCACATCCTCTGTGTGTCAGCCAGAGAGAGGACACAACACACAAAGGTCTGGGGGTTACATTTAGGCATTCAGAGGTCATTTCTCTTAGCCTCTTCTATCAGGTTTGGGGGCTGAGTGGTGAATTTGTATGTAGGCATTTCAGGTACTAGCGTGATGAGCACCATATCATAACTTTACCCAGGAGTAAGCCCTTTGTCAGGGGCAGGGAGAGTCACATCATCAGTATGGAGAAGGTATTACCAGAACTATTTGAATTGACACAGAAGAGGATAAGAGATGTGCTGACTTTCACATAAGCAATGGCCGAGGTGAGAAAACCCCCAGAAGTCCCGGCTTTCAGCCCTTTCTCATACTACCTGGCTATCCTCCCACACATACCCCTGAGGATTACAAAAGAGGCTATTGAAAGCATGGGAGTTAAAAACACTGGGTTTTTTGGGGGGGAGGGAGGAAACAAGCCCAACCCTAAAATGTAATTGGGAACCTGTAAAATTTCCCCCAAAAGCTCAGACTGCCTCTCAGGGAAAGTGCAGCAATTGTTGTTAGAGGGATCTAATTTATAAGGGGCTAAGGGGAGACCATCATGAGAAAATGAGATAGATAAACTTCAGCTGGAAACAATAAGGATCGATTATCAAATAATCACAGACCAGCATTCCTGGACTCCTGAGATACTTCACCTTCCTTTTCACTAATCAGAAATAATCCAGAATCAGGGTGTTTAAGTATTTGCAGAGATTCTTTTGCACTTTCTGCCTCTAAAAAGAGGATGATTAGCAAGTATACAAAAGCTTTCCAGGTCTAATAGCCCTGAATTTTGGCTGCAGCTGTCAAACTGTGGTCCTTTGTCTCTTGGAGTGAAATCCACCCTCTCTGCACAAAGCCTCAATCACTGGGAGCTATGCAAGGGTTGGAGGAGATAGAATTTACCCTGTTCAACCCACAGGGTGTCAACACAACCCCTCTGCAGTCATTCCCTGTTGGGTTTTGAGGTAAGGGTTAACTGAAATTCTTGCTCTGGACAAAGGACCAATGGTAGTTAGGCACCTGAAATGCAGATAGACGTCTAGAGGAATTTTCAAAAAGCACCTCTGCACCCGCCTCCCATTGAAATAAATGAGTTAGGCACTGAAGGTGCTTTTGAAGTTTGCTGCCTGCAAATTCAGGTGCCCAAATGTCTTCAAAGGTGCCTGATTTTTAGTTTATCACTTCCTGAAAAATCAAGGTCCCCCTCAAAGGTGTTGAGATCCTCTGCAAGTCCCTCAAACAGAGGCACCCAATACCGTTAAACACTTGAAAATGTAGGGCCAGCTACTCAGCAGGGGCTACACTGATTTAATCCATCTGAGGATTTGGTTCCTAATATCTAAGCAGTATAAGAAACCGCATAGAATAGAATAGAATAGAATAGAAAAATAGCCAAAAGTACACTATAGGCATCATCAGATGGTGACAGCAGCAGCAGCACATCCCATGGGTATCACCACTGGAGGTCTCTCCTGGGACAGCTCACCCTGATATGCTAGTGGGGAAGAAATGGAACAACATGCAGGAATTTGGGGGGGAAATATTGTGTACTCTTTGCCACATGAAGTGAAACATGCAGGATACAAAGAAACGCAACAACACAATAGACATTATATGTGGTGGTGTTTAAAAACATATCAAAATAAATAAGCTGATTAAATGCATAAAAATGGAACGGAGAAAAAGGCCCAACATATTGATTATTTGTCTTCCTGTAGTGCCTCGAGAGTCCGGAGAAGATCAGGGCCAATGAGATGATTGCTAGACACCGTACTGACACCTAGGAAGACTCAGTCCCTCCCCCGAAGGGGTGCACTCTAAATAGATGGGACAAGCAAAAGGTGGGAGAAAGGAAGTATCATCAACTGCATTTACAAATATCGTTTGCAGATGGGACCCTGAGGCCCAGAGAAATTAAGGGTTGCGCTCAAAGTCACACAAAAACCCAGTGATAAACTGAAGCCAGATCTCCTGAGTCTGAGTCAAACGCCTTAATTAGAAGCCATCCTTCTACTCTGAGGCCTTGTCTGTTACTTAGTATGCAGCAAGCGGGGGTGTAAATCTCTAGCACACTAGCTCACTGCACAGAACTGTCCATGTGGACCCTGCTACTGCACATTAAGAGTTCACTGTGCAGTTTGACATTCTGCTCTGAGGCCTTGTCTGGGCTCGGCTAGAAGGCATGTTGGCATGTTTTAGCTCACGTGCTAACCCAAAGTCTAGTGTGATCAGGGCCGTGTATTCTTTGACATGTGCTGAGCGGGTTGAGATGGAGCCACGGCTCTCTTGATGACCTTGACCTGCTAACACATGTTAAAGTACAGCTGCCTTGTCTAACCCCTTTCTTCCCTAGGGTAGACATGGCCAAAATCCTACTTTAGACAAGGCCTTAGAAGAAGAAAACACTGTGAGAATGATTGTGTCCTGAAATAACTAGTTCTTCCAGGGAGATGTATCACACTGGCCTCTGGCATGTGGAGTAGCAGCTTACCTGGAGTTCCTGCTAGCTCTTCCCCACATCTAACTGTCTCATAAGATAAGACAGCTACCCTTCGCTTCCCTGTCGGCTGGCTGCTCTGTGTGTGTAAATCAGGCGCCTCACAGCTTCCGTAAATAGCACCAGCAAATGGAAACTGGTAATATTAACTCTGTCAAGGCTCAGTATTGATCCCGAATAGCTTTTTGAAAAGCAAGGCTGAGACTTGTGCTAATAATTAAACTGGTTAGCAATATGGAGCTGCCACTCAAGTTCAGGTTGTAAAAAGAGAGAGAGCGAGAGAGAGAGAGAGCAGGAGAGACTAAGTCTCTAGGGCTGTGTCCTCCTTGGAACCAGCTGCTGACAGAGCTCAGTGATTATTGCCTTTATTATTACTACTGAGGTTTGATTCGTTTGTGGTTATCTTTTATGCTTGACAGCTTTGGGTGAGTGCAGCGGGGCACTTGAATTTCCTGCTTTCCCTTATCCCAACTGTTTTTTTTCCAATTAATGGAGTGTTTAACCTCATAAGATCAGTAGGGGTGAAGCCCCTCCTGGTTAGCTAAGTCTCTCCCATTCCAGTCTGGCTGGTTTTTCCTCCCCACTTTATATAATATAGTTAGTTGAAAAATATATTCACCCCTCCTCAAAATGGGGGAAATCGGTCCCATTTTTTCCCTACTGAAATTCAAAACTTTGATGACATTTTTCATTGAAATTTGAAATTGTTCAGCTGCCGCTAGAGCGGGTCATATAACAGGGCAGAGTTTGTCCACGAATATTTATGTGAAAAAGGACTCCCAAACTTTCTGTTTTGGTCAAAACTTCGATGAAAAATTGAATTCGAAAATTGAAATTCAGAAAATTTTGATCGGCTGTATTCGTCAACCACCCGTAAAAAACTGATAAATGGGATTGTCAGCCCTTCACTGTCTTGTCCTTTGGTGTCTCCAAGCGTGCAGTGACTGAGGTGATTTTTCAGCTTTCTCCACCTACACTAATCAACTCTGTTTACTAAAGCAATAGACAAGAAAGCACTCATTTTCCATCTGTCAGCAAAACAAACTGTGCACTGAAGAAAAGCACTGTCATTCTTGGGATACCTGGGTTCAACCCCCTGCTTTGCCCAGACTCCCTGTGTGACCAGGGGCATGTCACTGAGCTTCTCTCTGCCTCAGTTCCTCATCTGTAAAATGGGGGTGACAGCACTACCCTGCCTCACAAGGGTGTTATGATGCAGAGACAAAGGCCTGAGTCCTGTCCCCTGTTATCACAAGAAACGACTACATGCCTTACTGTATATCCTCGTAGGCTGCCTCTGTCCCAGATTTCAACAGCTCCGCCAGTTGGGCTTCTAGTCCTTTCTTCAGAGGACTTTCCTCATTGACCTTATTGCCAGGAAATGTTTTCCTGAATTCCAGAAGAAATTTCCTCTTTGTTCCATTTCATCCCCAAGTTCCTCAACTAACTCACCCTAAAAAGTTCTGCCACATACAGACTGTCAACTACAGCGGGTCAAAAAATGGAAATAAAAATTTTGACATGGAGAATTTCAAGCCAATTTATTTCAAACTTGTGAAAATGTCCAACCAGTTCTGCTGTTTGGCATTCTTTGGATATTTGTCACCAGTGATCACCATGTGTAATTAACTTCGCAGACATCAGACATACTGCGTCACGTGGCTGCTTGGACATCATCAGGAGGGAAAGAACTTAGAAGGAACCTTCCATTCTGCAACCACAGGCTCCCACTGTCTGAGCAAACGGGAAATTATTTCAGCTCTATTCGTGTTCTGTGCTTTGTGGACCTCCAGCCACGAGAGGGTGACGTAATCACATATTATTGATTACTTCTGACATTTCATGAGACATTAAAAACCTGTGGCACTTTCTCAGGAAGCGGGTATCTATCACAAGTCAGTGCAGTACTGACAATCCCACACATTCAAAAAACTCATGTATCAGCCCTAAAATTAATAAGACTGGCTTAAATCATAGTATTTAAAAATAATAAATGTGTGGTTCTTTTTGATTTCTGGGTTTTGAACATCTAGATTACAGCCGAGTCATGTTTTCTAGCCTTTCCCTGTAACTGTGAGGACCAGAAACCTAC